TAGGAGTTTAGCTGCCTTTGTACAAAGATGGTGGATGCCCTCCATTCGGAGGGGACCACACGCGAAACGGTCCCGGCTGCTGAACAATAAGAAAGGCACTCACACTTCTTCAGCACTCGAGATTTGAAAGCGATCAGCGTATTTTTTTTTTCTCTCTCTCTCTCTCGGTGCTGCTGCGTGATTTATACTTGAATTGAACTCATTTTCATGACCGTATGTTTAGTAAAGACATATTTACAGCAAATGTGCAAGGGGTGAAGATTGTCATCATAATCTCTGCCAATCTGCCATCGCAAGTAGGATCGACAGGATAAAGAATGATTAGCATTCGCTGGCTCGCGAGAAGCGGCAAAGTGGAGATATTGAATAGTACGAATAAAAGAGAGGCATTGAAGTCGCATGACTGTATCGTTAGTTAGCTTTCTTTGAGTGATTAATTACTTTTGATTCTTCTCACGGCTGAGCCATGTAGACGGTAAATTAATACGTACAAATTCACGTTGTAGAACATGTGTTGCCTCAAGTAAATTAGCAAATACGATACACGTAGTAAGAAAAGATTTTTGTATTTTTGGATATCCGTTTATATATCGTAAGTAGTAATTTTTTGAGATAGAAGTACGTCAATATTTTTTTGTAAACAACTTAGACTGTCTCGTGATTTTCTTGTCCGAACTACACTACAGCATGATTTACAAAATCCTTTTTTTCTCGAAAACAGATATCGACTTTTGAATTGTGCGAAATTAATTGTTTTTTTTTGGAATAAACTTATGTGACTAAAAGAATGGTTGTCAATTAATTCAACTGTTGTAACTGTGTATGATTAAAATTTCGTAAAGCATCATCGCTAGCAAAAGAATTCGTTTGTCCTCGATACTTCGCTAAACTGGAGCGCGTCGTCGTCATCAAGTGATGGAGCCAAGGTAAGCCGCGATAATTGTATAACCGGCTTCCTAGAAGCGGATCGCGTTCATAGTTAGCTAATACAATATAATACATTTATATATATATATATATATATATGTGTGTGTGTGTGTGTGTGTGTATAATATATACATATATACACTGTCAACTATACTTTAATATTATACATATTATACGCATATTATATTGTTTGTCGAGTGTCACTGAAGGTTATATGCCAGGAGGTCCAAAAATTGACGATAAATAAAGACAGATTGTTTGTAACATTTTAAGACGAAGAGTCCAATATTGACAATGAGACTGTGATAGTTTTTTCGAATGAGAAGAGTTTAAAAATTACGAATGACGGGGCTAGAATTTACATACACTCAAGAATGGCCAGATGGTAGTGTAAAGGTGCGAAATTTTGTTATTTTCAAAGGCACGAAGTTCGAGGAAGAGTACTCTTCCCACATTTAAAAACTATATATAATCATAATCTCAACATTTTTATATATGGTATATTCAAACTTTTCGTTCTAAAAGGTTACAAAAAAATTTGTTTAATATTTATGCTACTTTCATCGATAGAATTGTAGAAGTAATGGAAAGCAAGTTTGACTTACTCCTATCATTTATATAGAAAGTTATTACGAGTAAGTTTTCAGATAAAGCCAATTCAATAAAAAAAATTGAAGATATTTGAACTGAGCAAAGTAAAAAAAAAAGTAAATTGAAATTATAATACAACGTTACTTTCCTTCGGTATAAATTACTAGATAAAAATATTATCTAGTATCCAAACATGTGTTTATAAATATACGTATATTTAGTTTGATATTTAAATAATAATGTGTGTGATCAATGTTGTATCACACGTATTTCGTAAGTAACTGGTTTTAGAAGAAAAAAAAAGTAAAAAGATTCACAGAGAGGAAAAAAAAAACGCACGAGACGCGAAATTCGAGAGTAAGGAAGAAAAAGAGAGAACAGTCACGCAGCATGAGAAGAAAGAAGAACGGAATAGAGAAAGACCGGCCAAATAAGCCGTCGCAGGACGAGTAACGAGGCATATAATAACCCTCAGTGACACTCGAACAAACAGCCATCTGTAGGTAATACCCCTGTGGTGAGGAACGCCCCGAAAACTACACCCCGCCAAGAAATTACAATGACAATGAGCGAAATCCGATCCGCCCGCGGGCACGCACTGTATTTCTTTTTTTCTTCCTTTTTGCCTTCACACCTCCTCTCGCAGTGCGTACACGATTCCACGCGTCCCAGGTTCTCGGCCATTGTGCGACGCGACGATCCGAAGAGGCGAGAAGAATTAATGTCGTCGAAAACGAGGGTCGTCGCGTAATACGTTTGTGGACGCGTATGTGGGCTCTAAAAGTCGTTGTTTCCTACAATCACACGTTTCCTAAATAACGCTGCTAAATCACTATATCGAAGTAACCAGATCCTCATGCACTCCACTGAGTTTAATATTCGGACTATCAAATGTTTTGTAATTTTTTTTATCAAATTTATAATGCATTTTCTGAGTTTTTTCCGTGAGCTTTGTCGCAATATATATAATTAATTGAATTGACTTTACCTCCTCCTTTCTTTTTTAAAATATAGGTATATAAGTAGAAATATAAATAGTATAGAATAAGATATATAGAATGGATATACGTTGAAAAATCGTCAACAATTCTAGTGCTATTAAAGTAATGATCGCGGAACTTTCGTAAAGTATCATCGATTGATTGATTATTTCTCATTGTATAATATTTACCGCAGATTTCATGATCACAATATCTTTACATGAAATTTATTTAAAAATTGGGACGTCACACAGGATAAAGTTAAACACATACACACAAATCACGTTTCTCTCACTTTGGTTTCTAAAGTACGGGAGAAAGCGTGCGACATTTTGACATCCTCGCAGCTAAAGCAACGAAAATTACTGCTACCATATTGAATGATGATAATGTAGTACGATTTCGTAATTTTAATTCATAGATCGAAAGTTATATATATATTTCAGTCATAAGTGTAACCTCCAAAACAACCTCTCAAGAATCCCCTCTATTCAGTTTATTGATCAGATACGATCGATCTTGTCCTCGGGTGAGCGTAATACTTTCGCAAGACGCTGGCCTCTCACATTGACATGAACCGACGGGAAGCGTATGTATCTCTCGCGAAATTGGGCATGGCACAAATTTCCTTACAATCTACTTCTATCACGATCCCGTAACACATCCTCCCTCTCTGTGTAATTCGCTCGACGTTACGTAATCGCGAAATTATGCGTCGTGGAATTTTAAGCTGCTTCTATATAATTGCTTCTAAATGAATTAAACTCCGACAGTGTTGGCATTTTAAATTAAGCCAATTTTGAGAACTTACTACGTATCTGATATTTTTCACGAAAAAGTATAAGAAAGGCTCTCTTGCTAATAAATGAGCAAATACAATTCATTTCCGCAACTCTTTGCTGTTCTATCATTGATTAACGTAGTCGTTGCAGCGCAAAAGTTATTGTGATAGTTCAGTCCAGGTCGCTAAATGCAGGTCTTTATTTTGCGTCTGTGTCTACTCCCTAAAAGTTTTGGAGATCAGAAGAATGGCAATTTTTTCTTCTTTGAGCCAATGATGAAAAAGAGTGATGCAATTGTCAATTTTTGAGAGCGAAATTTCACTCTTTAGAGTTCGCAATTTCACTTGAAAGACTTTTTAGAGACAGAATTTTGCGATCTGCGAATTATGTGTATGCCATTTATGCAGGAATTTTATTCGCACAATGTGTTACTATCAAAAACGTTTAAACTGACAGATCATTTGGCAAATTCAAATCATGAATTCATCCACGGGTGTGAGTCCCATGAAGACAGAACAGATCAGTTCTCTCAGGCCTGATTGTGCACCACGTTATTTTTACTTTAAGCGAGACTTGAAATTCTCTGTCTCATTTTAAAGCTTAAAAAGAAACAGAGACAAAGACAGCTTTAAACTTTGTTTAAAGTTAAAGTAACATTGGTACATATAATATACCTAATACTGAAAGACAGTAATTAATTACTTATTTTAAGTATTAAAAGTACCGTTTGATCCTTTAGTACCCTAGATAAGTAATTAATTACAGCCATTCGGTAATAAATTTGCCAGCATTAAATTGGCTAGTATTAGATTTCTGTAAAGGACAGGCCAAGTAAGAAATCTATTTTATTACACGGTATTTATTATTTTGTAACGTAGGATTAGAAAGAAATTAGATACAAAGCAAGATGTATTTACATTTATATCTCGGTGATTAATCCTTATAAATACATACAGGATAACTTTATACAGAAAACTTGCCAGGAAGGAAACCGAGAGTTAAATTTCATCGTGCGTGCGAATCCGTAGATAATTCATCGTATTGCGATTCAATATGACACTCTTCGATAATTCTGCAATTTGCGGTTTTTCTTACGATCTCTTTCACGGTCAATCGGTATTGCGAGAGGAATGGTCTTTCGCATAAGAGCTCGCCGGACCCTTTGCGTCATTTTTGCGCGCACAAAGAAAGAGAGATAGAGTCGTAGGTTTATTTTCACAAATAGTTTCGAAATCTGATCACTTGCCCTTGACACGACGGAGAGCGAGAGAGAGATAAATTTTAATTAAAGACGACAGGTTTCGCTGGTGCGGTTACTTTATATTTCCGGTCGCGCAGTGGCCGTTTTATGTTGGGATTATGCCGGCGCCACGCTATTTCGAGGTAGCGCGCGTTGCACTTTATGCAATGCGTAAATTTACCCTCATTGAATAAATTCCAAATCGAACGATCCCGCGATCGCGGGATCTGGCTTTGTGTTTGCGCGCGGCGTAAAATTATAAATCGAAGTTCGAAAGACATTTGTGCAATAAATACGGTAGACTATTATCGTGAGATATGCATCTGGATGCTTAATATAGCGTTAGACCTTAATTGTTAGATCTTAATTGTCTCTTTTGACAAATATTCAACACAAGTGGTGCTAAAAATTTCACGATTGAACACTTTTATGCTTCTGATAAAATCTGGTATATATACAGATAAACGTTTAATTACTTACTTTTTAATAGTGGTAGGTCGTTCATGAACCCTCCGTCATCCACATTTGTGTTCTAAAACATAAAAAATAATCGAATTTAATATTAATTTTGTTAATATATTCTTTTATTTATACATATATCTAAACACAATTTCGAGATAATTTTTAAAAATAAAAACACAAATTTTAAAAAACTTGTATATTACATTATATTATTTTTAAAATTGATCATTCAGTATAATATTAAATTATTTTATATTAAATATTATGTCATTTTTGTAAAATTGATGAGCCTATATTTAGTTTTACCATTTAATTTGATTTAATTTTTCGGAATATGTTCTTTAATAAATTAATTAAATTCTTTACATCACAAAGCATATTGTATTCAATATTAAATAAAATGCAATATAATTCAAAAAAATTAGTTGATTAATTTGTGATTCAGCAAAGCATAGATTTATGATTTAAAAATTTTTCATTCGATAAGAATTCGCGCGTGATAAAAATAAAAAAGTATTATACAGGTATAAAATATTTAACATTATTTATATCGAGAAATATTATACACCAGTTACTTCTTTTTCATGAATATTTTTACGTACAACAAATCGACTACACGGTATGTGCTAGTTTAAGACAAAGAAAAATATTTTTGACCACAGCAAAGTATGGTATGTTTCGCAGCATTCCGCTCCGCATTGTAAAAAGCGACTGACATTCTATTTAACGGACCCTGAAACTTTTAACACAACTGTTCCTACATTTTACAAAAAAGGCAGATTAATCCAAAAGGAATTGATAAACATTTATTTCACGAAATTAATCTCTTTTCTTCTCTCCTCTCTCTCTTTCTCTTTCACGAAAGAGATAATTTAAAAAGTTATAACTTAACTTTTTTCTCTTAATTTGTTTCCTATTTAATATCTTCTTAATAACTAAATTTAAAAACTGTCAAAATAAATTCTGTTTAAGAAAAGCTACCACACATTGTTGCTTATCGCTTCGCCTTATCACTATTTATATAATATACAATATTATAGTTTACACTTCATTTTTGTCGGTAGATACATATTTATTTCTCTGAGATTCTGTAGTATATCTATATATGTAAACTATATGCTAAATGTACACATTAATTGATAAGTCAGAAGGAGAATACGGATCTATACAAATCTATATCTCCAAAACTGACAATAAGACGCTTTAAACATCGTGTGCGCGCGCAAAATGTACGTAATTTCGGAGCAGTTCTCTAGTAATCATAACGTTTCCGTTTGCGGAAACATCCCACGTGTTATCCTCGGCGGGCAAGAATGTCATCAAAAGAGATGCGTCGAGGGATGATAATAGAGAAAATATGTTGCGATTACGTACATCGTCGCTCACCTGGGGGTCGTCAACGAGGCTGCTGTGTAGAACGAGGTCGGTCTGGTCGAGGCCCGGAGGCGGTAGGAGGGCGTCAGGACGGCGTACGGCGCCATACTCGACACCCCTTCCACCGCTGCCACCACCGCCACCGCCGCCGCCTCCGCCACCGCCGCCTCCACCACTACTGCGTCCGCCGTCGTACGGGAAAGACGCGTGCATGTTCGTCTGAAATCAGAAATGACGTTTCAATCAGCGTGATACCGTCAACCCGGTATTCTCTTAATGCAATCCAAATTATTTTTCACAAATAAGCGAAACCCAAGTATCTCATTTTCGAGGTTATCTGATTGGAGAGTTTAACAGGAATCGAAGACTTTTTAATTATTTAAAGGAATTTACGAAAATGCCAAAAGTACGGTTTGTTGATTATTATTCCATATTGATTTGAATACATTAGTCGATAGACTGCAAGATATATAGTATATTAAGTAGAGTACTCAGAGAAAAGTGGCAGCAGCTATAATACATAAGTAATAATTGTACAAGTTTTATAATATTATAAGTAAAATTATGCTCTATAGTTGAATAAACTATTTTATAGTTCCAATAAAACTACAAAATACATTATTTAACTGTATGGTACATATTATTTCTACTTATAAAGTTGCTATCATTTGTCGTTTATATCTCTGATTGGCAGTGTAGAAGAATTAAACTTTCAGTAAAATATTCAAAAGCAAAATATTTAAAACCTTTAGTTTTACATTCTTTATCGGCAAAAGTTGTATCTCGTAGAAGGGAATTATGAAACAATGGATTTTCTCATTTTGCACTGGTATATTTCAAAAATAACGCAAAAAATTATTCCTTATTACCCATTTATATTGCAAATACGAATGTGGCAGTCAAACTTCTGGGTATATAATAGTAAATCATTATGAGATATACCTACATTGATCATAAATTTCTAAACTTGTCCTCTTTACATCAAATTATTAATTTTAGAACGACGTCAAGTGATTTTACACGCGAAAGTAATTGTTTTAAAGATGCACGATGTTTACTTATTATCAGATCAATGCGGTTTTTCTTGGTATCTCGTTTCAGAACACGGTTAAAGCTATGGATACACTGAAGCTCAAGCTAAGGATACACTGAAGTTAAAGCTGAAACTTAAATCAAATTAGATGTAAATTAATGCGAAGCGATTGCGAACGTTTTTGTTTTTTTATGTAATGTAATTTTTACGATACGGAGATAATATACGTATACAAAGAAACTAAAATCAAAGTTAACGTGGACCGGATCTAATTGGATAGTATTTAATTTAGTATCGCGGGGAGGCTTGCACGACGCGGTGATAGGTGGTAAATAGGTAAAGGCCGGAGGTCGACAGCGAAGCAAAGGTTGCCGTGTCTACGAGGAGAAAAATTGCTTCGATTACCGGTACATAACGGATCCGTGACAGGCAGAAATCCTCGACGTCCTGTGTGATGATTTTGTACTGTATTTAGGATGATAATGAGAGGAAAACAGTGAGCCATAACCGCGCTGCCATTAGCGAAACATCATCCGCAATTAGCTTCTAGGCACGGCGTATAAATTACACATCTATTGAATATTTACATTCTTATTCATATTTGTTATTGAATGCAGTCGTATTTCTGCGTAATGTCTACGTAACAGTTAGTAATAATAACAAGGTGTGTATTCCAATATTCGATTTTCTGCGATTTTTCTCGCACGACACGAAATTTGATTACTTATTTTCGTCACATATTTGCACAGCTCAAACAAAATTATAGAAACAATTATAAGTAAAAAATATGTATGTACATAATTCCGTGATCAGTGGTTTTTCGTTGGTTTACGCGAAATATATTGTCAGTCCATTAGTACATCAACAAAAGGGAAACCATAATCCCTCCTTTTTAAATTTTATAGCAAAATATTTTATACAATATTATTATAATATTTCTAAAACGCTTAATGATAATTTTGCTATTCTACAAAAATATTTTTCAATTTAAGAAACCCTAAAAATAAAAAACACAGATTCCATTATATTCCATTATATTCCTTTTTGATAATGTTTTACGAATTATACATTTGAACAATATGTTTTAAATGTAATATAATTTAAATAATAATTTAATGTTTTTTATCTTTTCATTATTCGACCTTGAAAAATTTGTTTGTGGCGCGCCAATGGCCTTTTCTTGACAAATTTCTTATATTTCAGTATATTTTAGAATTACATTGTATTTTTAATGCAAAAGGTAATCCGCAAAGTAAAAATCAAGTTTAAAAATTGTAGTAGTTTTATTTTATCTAATAAATAAATAACAAATAATAATCAACTGTTTATTAGTTTTACTTGTAATAAATAAACTTTGTATAGAATGATAAATGGATATTTTATGAAGGCTGCAAAAAGATATCAATTTCGAGAAATATCAAGTAAATATCAATAAATTTAAATTCATAAAGATTGCCTTACGTATCTTAATGACTTCGTCGTGAAGAAATCTGATCGGTTTGAAAGGCATAATAAAAGCGAACGAACAGATTAAAGATGCAATTTTTTCAGATTTATAAGGTCGGCGCAATGTTTCGCTGTTAGAATAACAGGAAGATATTAATCTACCCTTTCAGGTAACGGAATTACTATCCCATACATACTTCAACGTTTGCTGCTTACTCTCGCCAATCTCGAAAGGAGAGGCGGATGACGATGACTCGTCGAAACAACGCGTATTGCACGTATGCCGTATTGTCGCGCTGTGGCTTCGGCTCCGCGAGTTCTGTTCTATGCTCCATTAAACGGTATATATCCACGATGAAAATGATCAGCGATATCGTGGCATTTCTGTTACGCGTGTCGGCAAATTACGAACAAGTGGCGGCTCTCCGATCCGGGAAGATTCTATCTTAGGCTCGCAGTGAATTCTTCATCGGTCTTCATTTGTAGCTTTCGTCCCGTAAAGCAGGCGCAATTTATTTCGTACCGCATCGCTGCCGCGTCGCCGCACCAGGTCGGCATGTAACACGGTTTTAAATGAGAGACGAGGGAATAGTTGTGGACGCACGTGAATGCGCGTAAAGGATGACGGCAGGAATCCTCGCGCTATAAAAGTTCTCTTATGTCATCGGTAAAGACGAGCGAGCTGGCGCGAGGCTCTAATGGATCCCGCCGATCACGTAATTACTCGCGTTATTCTCTGCGATGAACACGGCTGTTTAAAAGTTGCTTCTTTAAAGTAGATACGCCTATAATATCGACATGCGCGAAGTGCTTCAAAAGAAAGTCGCGAGCCTCCCTTCAACGTCGGAGTGATATTTCCTGTACAGTAACTTGATTGGATCGAATTTTTTCGATTAACTGCTTTCATATTTAGCACTGATTGTATTCCGTTAAACTTTTAAATTATCGCTTTTATCTTTTCTATAATTGTCTCCAATTTTTAGAACGTTTAGATTTTAAAAATCATTACTTTTGTTTTCGCGCAAACTGTATGAATAATTTTTATACGTATGCAAATGTATTTAATATACATAATTTGATTGGATGAAGCAGTTTTTTTTTTCTAAACAGTGTTTTCATTTTCAGCCTAATTATTATTAAATTGGTTCAACTTGTGTCTCTTACTTTATATAGAATTGCAAGAAATTTGAAACTATTCAGGTAAGTTTTAGGATATTCATTATACATATTCATTACTTATCATATACTTTCGTAAATATAATATTCTCACGATACTTTCATTCTCCGACAATTCCGACGACTTATTAGAAATCGTAATAATTCATTAAATGTAAAAAACAAAATTAATTGAGAAAGACTTTGCTTCAGAGCCAGACAAAGGCAAATAATAACGGTTTCTGTTTATCAAATATAAAAACGTACTAAATAGTTTTTATTTATTTAACAATATGGAATAGAAATTTGTTTCGATATATAAACTCTCATATGTACAAATACAACAAGAGGAACGATAAGCGGATCATATGGCGGGACCGCAAGCGCGAGACTTCTAGGAAATCGAGAACAAGGCGGATATATGCTCGGAATCTTAATCACGACCGCCAGGGGGGAAAAACTGGCGATTTTATCCAGACTGCGAGTCGCTCCGTGTCACAAATACGGTTATATCACGAGCCCTTGCCATTATTGTTCTACATCTTTTCTACACGAGCGTCGCAACGCAGAAGAAATCACCGCGAGCGAGTTTCTCCGATTTCTTTGCTAGATTGTCCCCCCCCCTCCTCCCCCTCCACCGTTATAATCCTCCGCCCTGTCACGATCGTTTAGATCGACGTGCGACATACTATATATACGATAAAGGAGGGATTAAAGAAAAGCTCGCGAACGGTACTGGATTCCTCGATCGAGGGACATTTCTCGCTTCGCATCACCTCGGATATGCTTATGCCGATTGCACATTCCTTGCATTCGCTGTATAATGTAATTCTAATTATGATCAGCTGATTAAGGAATCTCGTATAACGCGCGTAAAAAATATTGATATACCTATGCCTACAGCGATCTCGATCATTAAAATTGCAACTGCCGAGAGAAACATTATTATTTGACAATTATCGTCGCAGAAGCTTCAACTTCTCCCTTTTCACGAGATTAGCGGATTTCGCCTGATTGAAAATTGATGCCCGGAACACGTTGCACACCGTGTGACTCGAATTCACTGGATTATAATCTAGAGAAGCGGGACATCGCGGTGTTGGCTTTTTAAGCGCCGACCGTGTCAGGTCGAACGTCAATTTTAACCATTGAGAAGAAGGTGGCCGTCGCCGCGTTCGTTTCAGGTCTGCCGTTTTCACGAGATCGAGGCTACTCGATCGATTCATCATCCCAACGTACGGAGAACGTTGCGTGTGCGGATTAGCAAATATGCCTAATGAGCTCGATATGATCGATAGCGTCGCTATATTCTGCGTTCTCGGTGGGAAATCGTTCGGCAGATGCGAGAGAGCATTAAGGTCATGACTGTCCGAATCCGAGTCGTGATTAGGAGGTCGAAAATTATACGCTTTATGTCGCGTTCAAGGTGGCCGGGCTCCATCCAGGAACTTTCACGGGGAACGAAAAAAGGCGCGCGGCGCTAATTAACGTGCTTGGGACCGCTTTCTGGGCTTATATTGACGAGTTCGCGATAGTTATACATTGATGTAACCGTGTTGTGCCGGCTAATGAGATGAAATGTGAT